TATATTCTCCCTCATTCCCTAATTCAGGTTCTGCCTTGTGGATCTGGTCAACTTGCATTTAAATCTTCATAAGTAATGTTGTGTACTTGAGCAAAAAACAATAACAACAACAACAAAACCATATATATATACACACACACACACACCCATATATACAAAAATACACACACACACACACACACACACACACACACACACACACACACACAGAGTGATCCAGAATGATTCAGACACCCAATGTTTACAACATCTAGAGTCATTCCTTCATTCAACATTTGGCAACAGATACCAAAAAACATCACAGGTCAGTCTCCAAGCAATTACCTAAATATCTTCCACAGATACACACAGCATGTGGCATTTCCCTGCTCCCCAGTCATTCTGAGAAGTCTGCCTGGCCCCAAAACTCCCGCCTGCTTTTTAAAATTCATTTCTCTATTCATTTAAGTAGGCACTAACTATTTGGCTATAGCATACCAGATGCACAGGTGCTGACAGGAATAAAATATGGTGACTGTTCTCCTCTCCTTCCCACTCCAATTTCTAAAGATCAGCTACTACAGAAGACAAGCAAGTAAGATGGAATATGATGTCATATTGTAAGTGCAGTAAAAGCACCATGAGGAGTACACTCAGAGCAAAGTAATGATGTTTACTGTGGCCCTTGAAGGTTGAGGAGCTTATCTCACAGGATATGGTACCATTATAAATGAAGTAATGCGTATGAAAGCATAAACACATGAAAGAGCAGTGTAATTCAGGGAAAGGCAAATGTCTGGACTAAAGCATAGGCGCTAAGAGGAGACTCAGGGCTGGAGAGGTTGGTAGGTTTGGGTTTTGCACTGTCTTATATGCATACACTTTAATGAACAGTTTACACTTTAATGAACAGTCAGTGTTTTGACTGTGAGAAAATGAAAGACATGATCAGATTATGTTTTATGATGATGACGTAAGTAGCCACAGAAATGATGAACTAAATGGGCATGGAGACTGATGTCTGGGAGACCAGTTAAGAGGCTTTTATAATAGACCTGGTGAGAGATGACAAGGTCCTAAACAAAAGCACAAGCAGAACACTTGGGGAGAACAGGTTTGAGGAGCCACGTCTGAGCTAAAGTGCAGCTATCTGGTGATCCAATGAATATAGGGAGTGGGGAAAAAAGGAGACCAAAACTAATGCTATAGTTTTTGAGTCACTGATGCCATCACTAAGATGGAGACCATGAGATAATCATGCTTAGATGAAAGAAAAAAGTGAGTTGAATTCAAGATAAGGGTTATTGGAAATGCCTATGTCCTTGTGTCCAGTATGGAGTTAGAGTTCAGGGAAGAGGGCTTGAGAGAAACAGAGACTCAGGGTATATCAACAAATAGGTTTAGATGAAGCATGAATGAAATCACCCAAGGAGAACATACAGAAGGAAAAAAGAAGGGACTGAAAGGAACAATTTAGAATAGACAGGTAGAGAAGGAGTAAAGGAGACTGAAAAGGTGATTTGGGGAGAAAAATTCAGGAAGCTCAAAGATGCATCGAGTCCCAACTGAAAAAAAAAAAAAAAAAAGACTAATGCAGAAGAGTTTCAACATGAGAGCTAATAGTTAACAGTGGCAACTACTCAGGGAGGGCCTGGGGCATGAAGAGAGGCTAATGGTAGAACAACTAGGCCACTGATGAGAGCAGATTCAGCAGAAGACGTAAGGAAAAATCAGTGTTAGCAGGTCAGGCAGATATAAGATAAGGAAGAAGTTTTTGAAGAGAGATTTGGCTATACACATTAAAAAAAAAAAAAAAGAAGAAGGGGACTTGTAGCTTGAGGAGCATAAGGCTCAAGGAAGGATGGCTTTTAGCATCAAGGAGACCTGCAGAATAGAAACAGCAGAGAAGAGTCTAAGAAAAAAGAAAAGCTTGGAAAAAAGATCCTGAAGATCAGAGAAATGGGACAGAGATTAGCTAAGGGGAACAGCCTTGGAAAGGGAGGGTTTTCACTTCCTCTGAAACAGGGAGGTAAAGACAGAATACAGAGAATAAGGGAGATGCAGGTGAGTTTAAAGCTTTTTGATCTGTAAATTTTAAGGCAATAAATACCCTGAGACTATTTATTCCAGATGCTGGGAATAAAGAACCTCATATAGTAATAGCCTGGGATGGCCCCCACTGGAAACAAGGAAAATGGTTTATCCTGAAGAAGTAAAAATGCATATCGTTCATAGTGATGTCAAAATAAATGAATTTACCATAATTAAGAGGGGAAAAACCACCCCAGTGACTGAAGATAATCTTCCACTGGGAATTTCAGGAACCATGGGAAAGGTCCTGAAAAGAAGAGTTAGATAGGGTCTGGAAGGCTGTATCCAAAATCAGAGAACAGCCACAGACTAACAGTGGTCATTTTCCGTAAAGGGCCAGCTGATAGTGTTATAGACTTTCCTGGCCATAGAGTTTCTTTCACATCAGCTCAACACTGACATCATGGCGTGAAAGCAGCCACTGAAAAAACTGAAATGAAAAGGTTTTATTGAAGCATAGCTACACTTAATTTATATACACTGAGGGTTGAATTTAATATTCATGGGATGTGAAATAGCCTTCATTTTTTTTTCAACCATTAAAAAATGTAAAAGCCATTTAATGTCTTACATTTTAGCTCCATAGGCCATACAAGTACAGCCAGAAAACCAGAGATGGCCATAGTGTGCCAACACCTGGGCTAACACACATTACCAGTTTTAAAATAGTCACTCAGAAAAATGTGCAGGGCTGCAACTATAGCATCAGGTGTTGAGACACAGCAGTGATGGCGGACAGGATACTTCTTTACTACACTTTTCCACAACATATTGTAATGAAGAACAAAAGAAGACTGAAAGGACACTTAGGATGCCTGAGTTCCAGTCTTCACCCTGCCACAGATTAGTTTTGAAACCTGGAGCAAATCATAACATCTTAAATGTTGATAATACCTTAAATGTTGCAGTGTTCTCATTTGGAAAAAAGTTATGTTTGTAGGAAGAAATAAAACAGGGTTTTCGTGGTTACAAGATGAAAGCCTATAGCATACATTCATAAATGATAATTTTTTTAATGTAAAGTTTACAGCAAATTGTAGCAAAAACATTCTACATTTTTTTTTTTTTGAGATGCAGTCTCGCCCTGTCGCCCTGGCTGGAGGGCAGTGGCACAATCTTGGCTCACTGCAACCTGCCTCCTAGGTTCAAGCAATTCTCTTGTCTCAGCTTCCTGAGTAGCTGGGACTACAGGCATGTGCCACCATGCCTGGCTGATTTTTGTATTTTTAGTAGAGATGGGGTTTCACCATATTGGTCACGCTGGTCTCGAACTCCTGACCTCAAGTGATCCATCCACCTCAGCCTCCCAAAGTGCTGGGATTACAAGGGTGAGCCACTGCGCCCAGTCAATATCCCACCTTCTGAAAGAAAATGTTCTAGAAGCCATGTAGGAGAAAAGAGTCTCAGAGTTTTCCACTTTTCCTAATTCTAAAGAAGTTTAACCTAGTCCTTTCAAAACAGTGGGCGCACTTCTTACACTGTATCTACCTAGACAACTACAGAGACTTAATCTTTCCTCAGTTGTTACCGACTCAGAAGTAAAATTGAACCGTCTGACCTTCAAAAGCTTGATCAGGGTAGGTCAACAGTTCTCACTTATTTATCTCGACTCTTAAATAATGATGTTCATTACCAGAGTCCTAGAAAAAAAGGGAAAAGTAAGTGAGGCAAGGTTAACAGACTTTCAATCCTTCTGCTTTCTTTCTTTATACAATAGGCATGCAAGCCTCAGTTCCAAGCCAAAAAGAGGAATGCAACTTCTAGCCCTTTATAAATACCGGTTACCGAATGGCCTAAGATCAGTGAAGGTACAAGAAACATCAGCTCTTTTAGAACTTTTTATACTCCCTTAAACTGGCAGGAAGTTTCATCCAGACCACAGCATTCTGAACCAAATCCATAAACCACCAGGGCAGGAAAATCTCCATTTCCATGAACCATCCTCTCAGGTATAAACTTCTTAGGTGATGTATCTTTACATACTTAGAGCCTATAGAAATTCTTGGCACACAGATGCACTCAAATATTTAGACTATACTTTAACAAAAGAATTCAAAAACCAAGGTGAAGACAGCAATTTACTGGTTCACTCTTAGAAACTCTGCCGGCACAGACTGAGACGCAAGCTTTCTGGAAAGGCTTTACGTTTACAACAGTAGGTAAGCACTGCTGACTTGGCCCCAACCTGAGCAAACCTTCTGGAGTAGTAACATATGGCCTACAGCTTATCTGATCCAATATTTTTTATTGGGTAAACTTGAGTAGCATTAGTTTCTCCACAGTGCTTGACGACCTGATAAACAAGCATATGGGGTCTAGGAAGTCCTACTACTTTGAAACAGATGTTCACAGTACTCTTTCCCAGACATGCATGAAATACAGAGGAGTCAACTATAATGTACCTGTCAGTGTATGTGTATAAGGAGAAGGGTGGAAGAACTACCAAATGTACCTAATTGGTAGCCTTAGGGACTATTCAATCAGAGTAAGTTAGTCATTATACTCAAGTCTCACAGTCTTCAAATTTAGCTAAGAAAAACTTATCAGAAAGTTGGTTATAACTTTTCCTGCAGTTCCCATTCATTCAACCTGACAATGAATGTAATGACATAAAAATCACTAACCATCATGAGTACCTATGATCCCAGGATATTACAGACACTCAATCTTCTCATTGTACTCGAAATGTAATATTTTTAAACATGATTTATATGCCATCTTTAAGAAATACCCAATCTGAGAGTTCATTAGTTCATATGTAACTAATACCTAGAGTTAATGAAGAAAGTCACTTTTGATATTAGGATTAAGCTTTAAAATATATTTAGTTTGAAAGTAACAAAACAGTTGTTGTACACAGTTGTACAGGTAAATGTTTCCTAAATATTTGTTGAACGAGAGTTACAAATTCCACCATGTTGCACAAGGAGTACTACTGAATAACATTTATTCCACAGAAACCAGAGTTTTATAATTGTTCCTGATATTAAGTTTAATAGGTCAAATGTTTCTTAGGTTTTAACAGGAAACATAATCTTAATGGATAAGGCATTTAATCATAATTAAAGGATTAGACTTTATCTAATTCTCAGACCTTAACCTGCTGTATGATCGCACATTTAATGCTCTTCCCTCAGGACTATTATTGGATCCTTCTGTGGGACTTCTCTAACCAGGACAACAGTCTCAAAGTAGACATGAAAAATAAAAGTCAGAATGGGGACCCTATCTCGACTATCAACTTGTTTCCATTTAATCACTGGTCAAAACTTAAGACGACAGCTCTAAGCACACACAGATGAAATCCAGTATCATCTAGGCCTGGAGTGACAGCTACAACTTCACAAGTCATCCTCAGGCTTCCCATCTGCAATTAGTAGGGGAGATTTTAAAAAAAATTGTAGTAGTACTTCAAAGACATGTCTAAAAATTCCTTTTTATAGAACCCATTTTCCCTTTAGATCTGTCTGTCTGCTATAGTTTAAATCAAACTTAAGGACAATAAAAATGGACACAGACTGTGAGAAGAGGGCTTGTGGACAAGTAATAATTTAATCTGAAAAGAACAAGGGAGAAGAGTGACCTAATAATTTGTGAACGATGAGATGTTATCAAGCAAATTACAGATGGCTGCTTCCAATTTAGACTGCAGCCACCATACAAGCTGACAACCTGCTATAGTAACTTCCAGGTTCTACACTGCAATCATGAGGCAAGGTAAGAATATGTTACAGAACCTAATTATGTGAAGAAATCGGCTAAATAATCTCGTGTCTGAAAACAGAGGGCCCTCCCTCTGAAAGGACAAACTAAATTTTTACTAAGAGTCCTCACACCTATGAGTGGGTAAAGCATGGTGGCAGATCCAAGCCCAGTAGGCTTTTTAGAAAGCACTGTCAGTTATTGAATGGAAGAGTGATGAGAAGAGAATCTGAATAACCCTTTCACCCCAATGTCTCCGAGACTAAAAGACTCTTATTTGAGTTATAGCTTACCCCAGTGACAGAAAGCATCTCTGACCCACTAATCTTGAGAGATGATAAAAAGTAAATATATGAATTCAGAGTTCTGACCAAGGAAAAACTATCTTTGGTCCTAAAACTAACCCATTCATGATTTTATTACAATGCCTGCACACAAAATAACACTAAAATATACATTAACGGCCTAAAACAGGAGTCTCTTTTCCTTCCCCATCCAGACCCACTTTCCACTGTGTTTTTCAGAATTTGAGTACAATTATATTAATTAGTATATAACATTAAATAGACAACAGACAAACCAATCATTGCCTTGCTGGTATCTCATTTCCCACCACAAAAAATTATTCTGTACATATGCACCTTCTCCATATCCATCTCCAGATTTGATAGTTCTATTTTTACACTGTCAAGGTTTATTGGATTTTCATTCTGCTTTTTAGCTGTGATCGGGATAGCTATAAGGCAATCACTAGATATGACGCGACCAAGTTAAAGAAAGTAATTATTCTGCACTAGAACACAACCCGCAGGTGAAGAACATCACAAGCCTGAGAGTCAATCCCTGTTATGGCACCTTCATCTTTCTCAGCTTCTCTAGGTCATCTCCGAGGCCACTGTTTCCTAGCTCTCATGCAATCTTTTTTCCTTGTACTTTTCCCACTGTTAAAATGTTACAATAGAGTGCATAAAGTGGTAAATCTTTCAACCATTTTAAGATAAAATCCAGATTTTGCATAACCAAAAATCTCCCTTTTGCTCCTACACTTACTTGCTTGGGTACAGAATTATAGTTTGAAAATAACTTTCTTCCTTCAAACTTTGAGGACAATATTCATTTTTTATCTAGCATCCAATGTTACTTATAAAATGTCTGAAGTTTGTTACACTATAGGTGAACCCCTTCAAATGGAGGAATAATTTATCTTTAATTCTGGAAAATCTGAAATTCAATAGCCAGGAGATATAGGTACATGGCTTTTTTTCATCTATCTTAGTTCATCCTGAGGACCTATCAAAGAAATTTTCTTCTATTATTTACTGATATTTCCTTTGGTCAGTATGTTCCTGCTTCTAGAACTCCTGTTAAAACATGAGAGGTTCTGGGGATGTCTTCTTCTGTCCCCTCACTTCTCTCATATTTTCCATCCCATTTTGGTAGATTCCTTTGGCTAACTTTCAGAGAAGCAGCTTGGTTCTTAGCCCTGTCCATTCTCCCCTTCAGTACTTCTAAGAAATTAAAAATGACCAAAAAAATTTATGATTTAATTGCTTGTTTTCCCAGCAGCTATCCTTTTACTGATCCAACTTCATTTATCTGAAAATGCTATACAAATGAAGGACCAGACTGAGCATGCATATGTGTGTACATATATACAAGTACAGTGTACATCCAATTACTGCAAATCTGCATTTCAAAAGATTAGTATCTTTAAACATACTGTTCCTTAAAATACTACCTTACAACTATGACAATAGAAAAAAATTAAACTCACAAATTAACAAAAGCTCCAAAACTCAAATATATGAAAGTTATTACTATACAGTTTAAAGATTCCATGTATTATAATTGAGAATATTAACAAATCAATACCTTACGTTTCCAAAGTAAATTAAGTGTCATAAGAACTTGGCCATATTTTCATCTACTGCTTCTTACATGTAGTCACACAAGAAATTCGGGTTATTAATGAAAAAGAAGAAAACATTCTCAAGTTTATCTAAGAATCTTCCTTTAACAATGCTAAAACCTAACCTTACCCATGTTCCAAAGAATTTCTAGAACCACTATTTCACTCTCCACAGTTCACCAGATTTTTAAAAAGAGGCTCTGCCTTCTAAGACAATTCAGGTAATATCTCACAGTTTACCTGTTAGAGATATGTCACTCCTTTACTAAAAATCATTCAAAGGTTTTTCAACCATTTTAAGATAAAACCCAGAATTCTTAACTGCCCTGAAGACGCTGCACACAATCTAGTTTCTAGTTTCATTTAGAGTCATTTCCCTCCATTACTCCCTTACCATAGCAGCCTGCAGGTTCCTCACATCACACCCCATTGCAGGCCCTTTCCACTTACTATTGCTATCCTTCCTCAGTGTCTAAAAGACTCTTCTTCCAGCTATGGCTTATCCCAGTCCTTCCTCCCCAGTGTCTAAAAGACGCTTCTTCCAGTTATGGTTTATCCCAGTGACAGAAAAGGCCTGGGACACTCTTCCTCACCCCCTCCTCCCATCAGATGAACGAACAGATGGACACACAAACACACATACCACACGCGCGCGCACACACACACACACACACACACACACACACACACACACATACACAAAGTTATTGGCTTCACTCCCACTTACTCTCAGGTCCCAGCTGATGCCCATCTTTGGGAAATCATTTTCTGACCATACTCCGGGTTAGGCTCCCATTCGCATCATTATGCTTCTTTTATGGGACAGGAAGAACAAAGAGCTGCTATCTGTGTCATCTGTTTTTCACACCAGAATACATGTTCCCAAGGGCAGGCACTAAGCTCGTCTTGCTTACCACTGCACCCTGTACTTAGCACTGTGACTGTACCTAATAAGTACTCAACACATTTCATGTACTGTAATCATCTGATCAGGCCCCAGTGTTTCAGAAAAAAGAGTCTAGAAAGTCTTGCTTTAAACCTGACTATTCTGTAGAGGTCCCAGGAAAAGGTGCCAACACCTATCAAAATAAAACTTTCACTGCCATACAGTAAAATTTAATCACTCATCACAGTAGTATAAAAGCAGTAGACAACTACTTTAAGAGAATCTCTATTGTTTTATTTTTTCCTTGGTGGAGATAGGTAACAAAATAACATGTCAATAAATTCACCAGAACAACCATTAATGTTTATTTTGATAAACACTTTTCGAATCATGGTAGAAATGCAAAGTGAAACCAAAGAAAAAAACCACATGGAAACATATGTACAATTCGCAAAGGAAAGAAGGATTATTTAAGGAAATCTGGCAAACATACGTCGGGTTACAGGGTATAATGGACTGAACCTGCAAATTTCACAGAAGCACAATCCCTGATTCCCTGATTATCTGTTACTGTACTAAATCATTGCCAATACTGAAGCAAATGCATCAGGGCTATTCTGAACATAAGAGCAAAGCAACATAAAGATGTGATGAAATCCCACAGCTATGACAAGGCATTTTTCATTTTCAGCACACAGGAATAAAAGCATATATCAAGAGACCCTGTCTCTGCAAAAAAATTCCAATATGATTCCAGATGGTTTTTCCAGTGGAAAAAGAAAAGCTTACCCAAAATGAACCCTACAGACTAAGTTTTAATTTTGTGTTCCAAATTTGACAGAGCATCTCAAGACTAGAAATATGAGCTGATGGAGATAACATCTTGGGCAAAGCAAGGAGAGACTGGACAGTTTCCAGAACACAGACATTTGATAAGCTTAATGTCTCAGTTCAATCTGTGTGGATTTTAACAAATGAAAGGGTCATCTGCAGAGCTGTGGATTAGCCTACAACTTTCTTTTTCATCAGCTAAATTTGGACATTAACACTCCATTATGACAGCTAAAATAAGATTGGGAACTGGTACCATATGAAGATTTAAAAAAAAAAAAAAAACTCAATGAATGGGGTGATTTCTATTCACATTTCCTTACCATATAATCCCAGAGGAAATGACAGATGGTCATAGCGAAACATGAGCCAAGGATAGTAATTGTGTAGGCCTCCACTATTTGTGAAAAGTATACCTACTCTGCTCAAATGTGACCTGTCCTGATTCAATAGTTACAGGCATTCAAGAACCTTAAGCCAAGATAAGCTTTTATTAACTGGCCCCAAATTAACTAAGCCATATATTGGGTATTTCAAATTACTCAGATAAGCTTTCAATCGTTATTTGGTTATTTAACATCCCAGCCTCGTGAATAAATTTACCAAAAACCCTAGATTAGCCTTATTTCAGTTTAGGGTAGCATGTGAGTTAATCCCACTCATGAAAGTTCTATGTGGTTCTGTTATTTTTATTCTAAAGGGGTGGAGGGGGGCAGAAAGATAGGCAAGTTAGAAATGGAACACATACAGATGTAATAAAAAAACAAAAGAACTAAGTAAAGAGACTGTCTTGGATTTTCTGTGATTGTTGAAAAAAATACACTCACAAAACTTTTCAGTGTAAGATCCCTAACAAATATCTTTATTTGTAGGTAGAGAAAACAGATACCCATCCTCTGCCAAAAAACATTTAGTTTTCTATGAAGTATAAGTAGCCAGGCAAAGAGGATTCCCTGTATTTTAGGTTCAATTTCTAAATGAAAAACTGTACATTAGGAATGTTTCTGTATATCTATGTAGCACCTCACATTTTTGAAGTAATTTTACATTTGATATTTCCAGAAATCTTTCTAAAATAGCCCTGTGAAATCTGCTAAATGTCCCCACTTACTAGGCAAGACCCTGGAAATAGAGGGCATGCTGTCAATCACAATGGAGCAGGAATGAGGCATAACTATTAAGGTGAAAACTTCCGGCATATTCACTGATTCAACAATTAGCATGCAACACCTACAGTGTGATAGGAGTTATTCCAGGCACAGAAAAGGTCACAGCAATGAACAAAACAGACTGAAACCCCCATGCTCAGAACTAACACTTTAATGAACACCACTCTGTTTTGGTTTGAGGGTTTTTTTGGCTTGGTTAGTAGAATGCCATTTACAACACCGAATATTCAGTGAAAATTGGATTTTTTTTGCCCAACTTAAGAAATTTAAACATACTCAAATTAGTCAATTACCAAAAAAAAAAAAAAAAAACAAACCATTCAGTACATTAAAAATGCTGAAAAATTTATTAAGCACTGGTAATTCAAAAAAAAATTTTAGGTATAGACCTCCATTTTCAGATCCTTAATCTACTTGGAAAAAGGTACATACATTAACAACTAAATAACAAGTTCGCAAAACAGGATGCTTCCAAATGGAAAGCAAACATCATTAGGACCATCTTCAAAAGAGGAAAACCAACCAAGATACTGAGCTTTGTCAAAGACTACATACTCAAATAAGTGGCCAGTGTTTTGGGTGAAAAAAAAAGATATTATTCTATTCTAGGCTTTATTAGTTAACTTCATACTGACAGACTGCAGATTTAGAGATGCCAGGAGATTTAACTTCCAGCAATGTTATTTCACTTTTAACATTACTTTCTGTAGATTATCCAAAAAAGCCATTTACGCTATTCAACTATATTACTGAGAGACCTAATATTTAAGGCATTGTCTCATCTAATTTACAAATTTCTATTGCCTTATAATAACACTACAAAATACAAATGTAAAAGAGGCTGAGAAAACTTAAGTAACTTGACTGTGCTGACTACATGATATATAAGACTTTATATATTGTAAAATTTGAACATTAAAAGATCAGCTTGAAAAAGAGGATAAGTTTTGCAATTTCTAATAAAAAGTTTTTCAGGGCCAAGCATAGTGGCTTATGCCTATAATCCTGGCTCAGGGAGGCCAAGGTGGGCAGATTGCTTGATCCCAAGAGTTCAAAATCAGCCTGGGCAACATGGTAAAACCCTGCCTCTACAGAAAATTAGCCAGGTACGGTAGCACACATCTGCAGTCCCAGCTACATGGAAAGCTAACGCGGGAGGATCACCTGAGCCCAGGGAGGTCAAGGCTACAGTGAGCTGTGATTGTGCCACCGCACTCTGGCTTAGGCAACAGAGTGAAACTGTCTCAAAAAAAAAAAAAAAGAAAAGAAAAAAGTTTCTTAGAGTCAAGTCAATTAGATACATATTAGTCATCTGCAGGAATATATTATATACACTAAAAATAATTATCCTCTTGTATCTTTTAAAAAATCCTTAACCAAGTTGCAAAATTGTTGTTGTGAAGACAAATGTTTTTAGCAATATTTTAAAAACAGTGATAATGTAGGTGCTGTCTCCCTACAAAATTAAATCTTATAAAATCTCCCTTTCCTCCATTTTCTTCAGAAAAAAAACTTCCTACAGAAGGGCAGGAAGCTTGTTCTCATAACTTCAAGACAAAGCTTAACTAGGTCCCATATATTCTCTCACAACTTATCAAGCTCTGTTATCTAGATCCAGCTTCAAAAGTTGTCAGATACAGCATGAAAGCTTTTTGAGGACCCTGAAATCACAAAGGTAGGCAGCAGGAAGAGAAATAGGCTTAGGTCCTGCAAGGAGTTACAATCCAAAAGAGCTCATTAGCAATTGTGCATTTAGAGACAACCTTGGGAGAAATGCAGCCAGATGGACCTACAGAAACCAACCTTGACAAATCCTTACTTAGATGGGTTCCTGGGGATGCTTACTCCACAAACAAGGAGGGACAGCTAACTTACTACTGTGGCTAACTTGCAGCCAAGAAAACAGCCTGGGCTAAAGACAGGAAACAAGAAATAAGGAAGAAGAGGGTGTAAGAACAGCTCTGACCACCAGAAACATTCTGGCTCCTCACAACTATGCCCTTCTCCACATGTCTTACAAGGCAATTAACCTTAACTTTTGAAGAATTTTCTTTTCAAAACCTTAAGGTCGAGAAAGAGGAACCAACTTTCAAAAACATTGACTCAAATATTACATAAGCAGCATCTCATCTGAAGCTTCAGGCTCACATTAAGGAACTTTTACCTATCAATGAAAGAGTGAAGAGTATGAGACACAAAAGTATCGCGCAGAAAGGAAGAGCGTGAAAAAGAGAAGGCAGCTTTACCCTTTACTTTACCTCTCATCACTCCTACTCATGGCTGTGAATTTCTTAGTAAAGTGTCTTTAATTTCTATGTATATAGAAGGAGTTGTACAACTCCTAAGGACTTCAATTAATCACCTTGCAACGAAATGTGTAAGATAAATAAAAACTGATTGTTTTAAAGTAAATAAGCTTGTGAATGGGAAAGCAATACTGCAAGCTGACACTTCAGCTGATGCCAGCCCATGCCCTGAATATAAGAGGTGGCTAATAAGGAAAATGTTGCAGGGACCTCGACCCATCTTCAATTATTCAAAACCAAAACTGGGACAGTAGTAATAGTGACATTAGGTTAAAAAAAAAAAATGAGACATTCATTTACTTTAGCATCAACATCTATTTTGTGTCAGGCACCCTTCAAGGAGTTAGGGAACTGGTGTTCAACAAAACAAAGTCCATTCCCTTGGGCAACTTATATTCAAATGAAAAGAAACAAGCCTAGTCTCAGAGAAAACACTCCATAATATCTGTTACTCAAAAATGCTGACTGCCCAAGGGAGAAATTAAGTCTAAACAAAAAGCAAAATGCTTTCAGAGTTATTGAAACTTCAAAAATATGGAAAGCTCGCATTATACAAATTAAATATTTACTGTACAGTATGTTATGAATAAAGTTTGGGTCAAACCATAATTTTTGATATCTGTCAATTAACCATCATTGACAAAGGACTCCCTTAATTGGAAGCCAGTAAGTATTCTTAAATATGGGGAATTAACTACGAATTCCTCCCTATTCCCTTATAAAACCACACTATAGTAAGAGTTCAACTCAAACTCTTATAAGCCCATAGGAAGATTGAATGGGAGAGGAGACAATATCAGACCAGGGATGGTCACAACATCTTAGAAATGAAAAGCGGAGGCCGGGCACAGTGGCTGATGCCTGTAATCCCGGAACTTTGAGATGCCGAGCCAGGCAGATCACAAGGTCAGAAGATCAAGATCATCCTGGCCAACATGGTGAAACTCCATCTCTACTAAAAATACAAAAATTAGCTGGGTGTGGTAGCATACGCCTGTAGTCCCAGCTACTCAGGAGGTTGAGGCAGGAGCATCACTTGAACCAGGGAGTCAGGGCTTGCACTAAGCCAAGAACATACCACTGCACTCCATCCTGGCAATGGAGTGAGACCCCATCTCAAAAACGAAAAAGAAAAGCAGAAACAGACTTGGGTTTTGACATCCTCTGCTCTACGGCCTTACAGCAAAAAGAACCTGGCAAGGTTCTGGAATTGTAGGTACAGAGTACTACCGTGGGTAGGGAGTTCTGTGGTGAAGTGAAAAAACTGGATGGATGACTAAAAATCTATAGGAAAACACTTAAACCCTCCAGCTCCCAACCCTGCCTGCTCAGGCAACTGCTCCTCTCCTATTTTTATCAAAGACAGGCTTCATTACCTGAATAAAATGAAACAGAGAGCCACTAGATTTAAGGATACAAACACAAATAAAAGCACCTTACAGATCAGGAGGACTAGGTGAAAATCTGAATAGCAGAAGGTTAGTTCAATGGGGGCAGAGACTTAACATCTGTGCTGTTGTTCACTGATGCATCTCAATAACCTGCAATGGTACCTGGTACACAGAAGTCACTCAATATGCAGCAGAAAAGTTTAGAAGATGTGGAGTTTTTTAATCTCCAAGAAAGTAGAACAACAACAACAAAATCAAGACTAGAAAGCAAGAGAGAAAAATACAAAAAATATATAAGTTGAACATCAGTCTAGGAGATTCTGACCCACAGGAGTATCTAGAAAGAATGAATAGAGAAAACAAGGGTGAAGGGGTATGAATACAAAGAAATAACGCAAGAAATTTTGCAGAACTAAAGTTTCTAGCACACAAAATAAATGAAATTTCAGAATACCAATCTTAAAAGACAATATTCTAATTACTTTAGGTAGAAAGGTCACAAATAAGAATCAGGGTTGCTGTTGAAGTCCAGCACCACTCTCATTTCTGATTCTTATTTGTTAAGTCTCTGCCCTCATGGGAAAACCATCCCCAAGATCCTGTCACCACCCACCAAGTGCCTCCATCTACCTGTGAGGGTTATAACCGGAGCTAAGGTTTGGATGGGGAAACTGAGTCAAACCATATCAGCTTTCTTAGAGTCACTCAGGTAAATGTGAACAGAATGAATACTAGAGCCCCCGACTCTGAGATGGCTGCTCTATTAGATGAGTATCTATCACCAAAGTTTTAACCCTAACATGCCTTTGTCCCTACACCGCTCTTCAGCTTTCTATTATTAAGTCACCTGTTTCATTTTAGTTAAAATGTTAATAAAATACATTCTTTCATCCCATCTTCCAAGTATTTAAAACAGATTTCTATTAATATTTACTTATGATCATGCCAATACGGCAGCATGGAATACTGGTTAAGGATGGAGTCTCTCGTGTCAGGGAGGCTCTGGCTCTGACTCTCTCCCTGAGTATCATTCTGCCTTGTAACTCTGGGAACCTCTCTAAACTTCATGTTTCTCATCTCTAAAGGTGAGTGCAGTTAGACTGAATAAGATGAAGGATGTTGAGAATGTAAAGGTAATGAATGTCACAGAATTAAGAGCTCTGGAAACATTATCAATTATACTTTGTTTTATGTCCAAATATGTTACAACCATTCATTATCCTCGAAGAGCTTCACAGGCAGTGTTCTCAAATATCAGTGCACATGAGAATCACACTGGTGAACTTGTCAATGCAGATTCCCCTGACCCTACCCTCAATCTGATTCTTTAATCTGGAGGAGGCAGGAATCTGTACTTTCAAGTTCTTGTATGATTTGGATGCAGGTGGTTCATGGAATAGAAACAGTGTTCCTACATGATGAAATAGATATCCAGAGGTTAAAAGACAAGCCAAAAGCCTACATAATTACAGCTTCAAGTAGTTCACTGCATCAAATAGCGAGGAACTGAGTACTACTCATTCGTTTTTGCTGTTTTTCCAACTGCCCTTTTTTCAAATTTAAACTTCTGTTAGGTTCCATAAATTAATTAATGTTAGACAATATGAAGATTATTTCTTAGTTTATAAAGGTTAGCACTTCCAGTTATACATCCAACTAAATGTTGAAGGCACGCAATAGGTCAGTACTCAGATCCTTACGGAACCCTGTTTTCTGCCTTAGAACCCAGCCATATAACCTTGTTACCAATCCCAGAGAACTGAAGACTGACCATTTTATTGACTGTTTTATTTGCAAACAGAAAAAAAAGGAAATAAAATGTGTGTTCCTACATTGCAATATAAACTAAAGCAAACTAAAAATATGGCTAAAAACAAGCACAAAACTAAACACGTTCTATATTGAGAAAGCTTGATGTGTAATACATGTGAAGCAAATTGCATGCAACAGCTGCACCTTAGGATAAGGATTTTCAATTGAAATGTTTATTCCAAAACCAGCAACAAAAGCAGAACTGAGAGTGAAGAAAGTTGGAGAATGTAAATGCACACATTCACAATTACCTTGCTCCAGTCTAAAGCACAGGGACCGTCTCGCTGCTTCCATCTCAGGAGTTGGGTTATCTAGGACATGTCTACACCACTGCAGAGGAGTCAGGGATTTCTCTGATGAGGTGAACATCTTTGAAGAGCCAACGTATAACCTAAAAAAAGAAATCTACATTATAGGTATGATATAGGTATACAGAGAGTACCTCTCTCTGCGGAAAACAACATGTATTTAACAATTACTTCAAGGTATCAGAAATAGTTTTTAAAGGCAAAAATCCGCAAATAGAATATGACACTTCC